GCAGGCGGCGCGGGGCGGGTTGGGAGCCCCGTTCCCGGGCTGCGCTGGCCGGGGTTGTGCTGGGCATCGGGGTCCCCGGCAGGGCGGGGGGCTGCTGACGGCTGTGCCCTGCTGACGTGGAGGGGAAGTGAAAGCAGCTGTGCGCCACTGGCCTGGCCTCTGGACTCTGCCCTGCAGCTAACTGGGGCCCGGCCCTGTGGAAAGTCCCTTGTGCGGGGGGCGGGCAGCCTGCCCAGCCCGGGGCGCGGCTCTGGGTCCCAGCACAGTCTCCCCCAAGCACCCGCCGGCCCTGGCAGTGTCCGAAGCGGGGAGGGCGCTGTGTTGGGTGCCCGCAGCAGCAGCGGAGCCGGGGCTCGGGGGGCTCGTCCGGAGGGGGATACAGGCCGGTGTCTGTGTGCAGGCATGGCGGGCCGGGGCACGGAGCAGAGCCTGCTGGAGGAGCTAACCTGCGCCATCTGCTGCGACCTCTTCATGGAGCCGGTCATGCTGGAGTGCATGCACCACTTCTGCAAGGGCTGCATCCAAGCCCACTGGCACAGCAGCGAGCACCCGCCTTCCTGCCCCCAGTGCCGCAGGGAGATCCCCGGCTGTACCTTCCGCACCCCCTACCTGGTAGCGGGGGTGGTGGAGAAGGTGCGGCGCTACGGCCTCCAGGAGCACCGGAGGCAAATACAGGTGAGCCACGGCGCCAGGCCCGGGTGCTGTGCGCACCCAGTATCCCTCCCACCTGTTTCCAAGCCAGGTTCATTTAGCTGTGAAATCGCCTCCCTGTCCGTACACGGTGCAGAGGGCAGCACTGGCTCCCCAGTGCCCCTTCTAGCCCCTGGCGTGTTACAGACTCCAGTTCAGCTTTTGTGCAGCTGCTCCTTGTCTTGCATGATTGCACCGGCTGTTTGCGTGCAGCACAGGGCCCGTGTGTGCTAGGTGCCACGTAACCAAGGGATAGGAGAGTTCCTGCCCCTGCCTCTTCCGGGCAGAGGCTTGTCAGGCCTTCTGTAGCAGGCAGCCTGAGAACGGGGCGATTCTCACACTAGCACGTACGAAACGTAGGCACCAGCACACGTTCGCGTGAAAGCTGCTTGGAGACTAGCTACAAGGTTGTTGCACATCTTCAAGCACTATCTTTGTAGCGGGTTGGTTTTCTTTATAGTCGGGTGGACACGTTTGTGGCGCGATGATTCCTTTGCACATGCGGCCAGTCTACGGTATGGCATAACTAACCAGTGAATTGTGCGATCATTACTTTGCACATGTGGCTGGCCTTACTTTGCAAGAGGGACTTGTCTACATTTATTGTGTGGTTAACCAGTTAATTGTGTAACGTGTAGCAAGGGCCTTCGTTCCCAAAACACAAACCTTCCCACAATGTCTTTTTTCCCTCATCCACCTGGACAGCTGTCAGTGCTGTGTACGGGGCTGTTGCTCTGTTAGAGAGCTTTGTGCCACTCTGCTTGTTTTGTATTCGTAGAAACAGCTTGAAGAGGGGCTGCAAGCTCACCAGAGAGAGATGGAGCGCCGTGTGCGTACGAAGCACGCGGTGGAGGAAGATATCTGCAGCCTGACGGTAAACCCCTGCTCCTAGCGCTTCCTGCATAGACTGAGCAGTGCCGTTGGCTTGGCTAAGGGAAGGCTGCTAGCAGGGTGGGTGTGTGTCTGGAGAAGCACTCTGGGGGGCTGGCAGCACCCTGCTTCGCTGCTTTTTCTGGCCTGTCTGCAGGGCAGGTTAGATGCAAGTGCAGTATAGATGCAAGATCCCTGGAGGAAAGAAGAACAAAGAGGGATTTATTTATTGGTGGTGAGTTAGCTGAGGGATCTGACAGACCTGGCCAACAAGCAGACTTGCAGCTGGGTCTCCTAGGGCTGCTCTTTTTTACACCAAGTGTCTTTAGATCACAGGCAACAGACTAAAGTCGGGAAAATAAATAGAGCTGCTGCAGGGGCGGCAGAAAAGGCTCCTCAGCTGAGATAACAATCAATCTGCTGAGATGCCTTTTCAGAAAGGCAGATAAAGAGCTCTAATCGCAGCACTTAGAGACAGCGCTGGGTAATTACTGAGGAGTGCACAAAGCCAGCAAAAGGCTCCGGGACCTGGGGAAAATCCAGATCTTTTCTCTCCTGTGCCGTTCTTGAGCAGGTGGGGCCGTGTCGCTTGACTAAACCGCGCGGCGTGGGTTTGTGGGGAGTCGTACCTCTTGAACCGCATGGAATAGCGCTACGGGTAACAGTCCGTGGTGTGTGTCCACATCCGTGGTGTGTGTGCATGCGGCTTTAGTCAAGATTGCCAGTTCAGCTGTGAAAGCCAAAAGAGGAACTACGTGGGGAACCGGAGTGAAATGTCCCTTATGCTTACCCCAAATTGTTATCCGCTGAGTATTCAGAGGGCGTTTCAAGAAACGCAGCATCATGTACGGCCCTTGCCAGAATCTGCGGCAGGTCTGGATTCAGGGTGCGAGAGATGCTGGGCTTTTGACTGCAAGGTGTTTGGTGCGACCAGAGAGCAGCCTGTTTCTGAGAGAGCACAGACACTCGGCCTGCTTCTGACCCGTCAGAGAGGACCTGGTCTTCGGGAACATGCCAAAAACTAGTCCAGAGATACTGAGCTTTAGGAAGGAGAATTTTGGGAGCACGTCGAGAAGCCTCTTGGACTTAGTGCCGTGGCCGCTGGTGCAGTGGTAACAGGATGGAAAAGGGGGATGTGAAGCTTCAGACAAGGGAGAGGAGAGAAACTGGCAAAGCTAAATAGTTCAAGAAGCTCTTCAGATGCCACAGGTCCTCTTCAGGCAAAGGAAGCTTGGCAGAAAGAAGAAAATTGAAGATGGCCACCGAAAAGCAAATGCTCAGAGATACAGAAGCAGATAACTTTTTTTACACGTAGCACTAGCAGGAAACCAGGACCAGGGTCTGTAGGCCTGGTGACCCAGCTGAGCACATCTTTCCATCCGTCTCCAGCGCATTGGTATCTTAACCTTCTTGGGTACAGATCCAGAGGTATTCTTGGACCCAGGTGTCAGGAGAGGGTGCTAGAAAAACCAGAACTCAAGCCGTGTATTTCCCTGAATTGTAAGCTCCTTGGGGCAGACCCTGCCACTTTTCTTCCCTTTTTGCAGCCCCTGACACCACGATCCATGCCCAAGAGGCACAGTGACAGAGCAAGGAGCAAACAAAACCTGTTGTGCATTCAAATCTGGCTGAGAGTCAGAAGGAAGTGGAGCATGAATAAATGGCCAGTTCTCCTCCCGGAGAAGGATCAGCAGCAGGGGAGGCGCGCTGCTGCGTGTGGCAGCGAAGTGGAAAAGGGGCTGAGCAGGGAGGGAGCAGAATCTGCCGCCAACATAAAATTGTGTCGATGAGGGGAGCCAGAAGGCCACAGTAAGTCACTGCGGTTCCCCTGGAGCCAGTGTGAGCAGGCCACATGAGGCAGAGCGCAGGCAGGGCTGGGGCACACAAACAGCATAATTGCCCAATGGAAGGAGTCATTTAGATTTTAAATTAATTGTAATCTCCCAGGACAAAGCTCATTTAGAGACACTTGACAAAGACCTCCATACAGTGTGCAGCAGCCGCCACCCTCCTAAATGGGAGAGAGAATAATGAGACCATTACGAGGCCATTATAGAAATCGGTGGTGCGTTCTCTACCTGGAATTCTGCATTCAGCTCTGGGTGCTTCATTTAAAAGAGATGCAGCAGAAATGGAGGTGATGGAGACAGATAAGGAAAACAATTGTGGGCCTGACAGAGCCCCCCTCCAGGACTGTGAAGAGCCTGAGAAATGAGGGCTGTTCAGTTTAAAGAAGGGGAGTGCCTCCAAGTTGCAGCTGAGCTGCAGCTTAGGGTCTCAAAATTAGACACAGCCTCTTCAAAAGCTCCAAGGTGACTTAGCAGCCTAATGTCCATTTTTATCTTGGGAGCTTGGGAGGCAAAGCTGCTGAAGAACGCTTGCAAATCTCACCCTGCAGGTTGGAGGTAGGCTGGTAACAAGCTGGGAGCAGCGTCCTTTGGGTATGACCGTGGTGTCAGAGAGGCTATTGGAAGAGGTTAATTTTAGCAGCTTCTGTGTCTGCCTCGTTCTGGGAAACTGGCCACAAAATAGGGCCGAGAGGCCTCTAGCCACTCGGGTTTCCCTCCCTTCGCTAGCTGCGTTGTACTAATCCCTCTACGTGCTGTTGCAAAGGCAGCTGTGCTGGCCCTTCTTTTGAGTCTGAATCCAAAGGAGCCATTTGGCCTGGAGCAAACACCGAGTGGGGATGAAGCCAAGCCAACGCCTGGCAGTCGTACCAATTCAGTATGTTCCTGTGGAGAAGACGGGCCACCTAGGAGAGCAGGGAAGGGAGCTGAACGATGCCCAGGGGTGACTTACCACTTTGCTTCTATCTTAATCACTTCACCTGATTCATCCTAAACGGATAAGATGCCTTAGGGCATGGAGAGCTTCCAGCTCAGCTGAGTCTTCCTGCTCCTATAACACCAAGTAATGACCTCCAGGAGCCCAAGGCTTGTAGATCTGATCTCTGCCATGGTCCCTGCTAAACGCTCAGCAGTGGCCAACTAGTGACCCCTGCCAGTCGCACTGGCTGCAGACTTCTGAGGGCCTCCTCCTGCCTGTTGGCTGTGTGCACCTCTTATGTCTCGTGTTCATAGATGGACCGTCGGTGCATAGCTACAGCATCACAGCTCTGTGCATGTCTGTTAAGACCAAGGGCTGTATTCTGAGCTACAGTATTTAGGAACTAATATTTTTAATACAGAGATGCAAATAATTGCTGGGTCTGGGCCTAGTAAAAACCGCCTGTAACAGTTTTCAACGTATTGAAAGTTTGGATACAGGAAATAGCTGGAACCAGAAGCTGCGTGGCCAGGCAGTCCATCCGAATAGCTGGAGCAGCCGGCTTGAGTCGCTTTGCGCAAGGGGAAACGGCTGCCTTTGCCCTCTCTGTGGTCAGCATAGCTATTCTCCACCTGCCCATTCTCCAGAAACATGTGCTAGCCCCAAAGAGAGCTTGCTTCTGGGCCACTACGTTAGCCAGCAGTTAATGCACTGCGCAGGGGAACACAGCCCCGTAGTGCTAACGTCAGCCGCACAGGTCGCATGTCTCAGCTGTGTAGGCAGGAGCTGCGTGTTGGTGAGATGGTGGCCTGATTCTGGGGAGTAGGTGTTAAATAATATGGACTGGAAAACCATTGGAGGGGGTGGGGGAATCGTGGTGACCATCAGCCTTTAGACTGGCTTCTTCCTGGCACATAAGGTTGTTCCATATTCGCCAGGCCGCATGGGCCCTGTTTTAAAGGACCCCTGTGGAAGTGGGTGCCTTGGAAAGCCAAAGCCCTGCAGCCATAGGATTGCCTCTCTCCCACCCTCCTTCCCAGAAGTTCTGATCATACCTGAAACCCTCGGGGGAAAAACAAGTGGGTCTATGAACATGCTGCAACTCAGTCTCCATTTCCCCACCAGCCCTCCCCATGCTCATCACACTCCAAGCCCTTTCATGGTGTTTTGTGGCTTTTTGCCTCTCGCAGAAAGTCTCTGGGGAGCTGCACGCTAAGATCCAGGCGGAGTTTGAGCGACTTCATCAGATCCTGGTGGAAGAGGAGAGAACAGTGTTGATGGAGCTGGCCAAAGAGGAGGAGGACTTGCTGGTGAGGCTGCAGGGGGACTTCTGGCAACTGGAGAATGGGATCGTGGAGCTGGGGAGGAACATGGAGTGCATACAGCAAGCCTTGCGTGAATTGGACGATTCGGCACTGGTGGAGGTGAGTGTCTGGCCAGTGCTTGCCAAGAAGCCCGGGCAGGGCACTGGGATGGGGAAGCAGGAGAGCAGGAAATGGACCATGCTGTAGCAAGGCCTGGGGCTTGGTGCACTCGCACCTGAGCAGAGGCAGAGCAGGCAGGGTCTAGCTCCACATCGCCCAGCCATGTGGGGGTTTTCTTCCACATCAGCCATTGCGGCAGGGCATAGGGGGGCTGTAGATGGGAGCCAGGGGGTGGTTTGCAAGGCTGTTTCTTGGCAAAGATGCCATCCGCGCCGGGAGACATCCAAGGATACTTGGCCTGTGGGAAAGGTGTCGTGAGTTGCCTCCCTTCTCCCTGGGAATCGGGTCAGGTTGCTACAGAGACCTCTCCCGCGTGGCACCAGGTTTTGGGAGCATCTCCCAGCCTTTGCATGTCCCCTTAACCTCTGCCCAGGCAGCCAGGCTGACCTCTCCCTGCCAGTGCCTAGCTGCCCTGGTATCCCTTCCCTTGCTGTGTGCCTAAGTGCAGGACCGTGTTTGTTGGGGCAGCGGGAGGACTGAAGGCTGATGGCTGTTTAATTTTCTCTGCTTCTCGCTGCAGGTGGAGAGCTTGGAGATCAGGTACGTACGTGCCTGGCATGAAATGCACTGCGTCCCTTTTCACGAGCCTCTTATCTCCCCTCTTTGCCTGGGCTGGTGGTGCACGGGGGAGGGGCCTTATCTTTGTAGGTTTTAAAGCATTGCAGATTATCTGGCGAGCTGCTGGTGCAGAATCAGCCCAGGGTGGAGGGAAGATGCAGCCCCCGGCCAGGGCTGGGTGATCTCTCGGGCAGTGCACGGTTCCCAGGGCGGGGGCCAGGGGGCTTGGGAATGGCATCACAGGTGGGGATTGCATTTAAATCATCTTCCACTTCCCCCTTGGCATGCAAGAGCTAAAGCAGGAGGCTCTGGCTCTCGTCTTCCCTGCTGCCACCTCTCCATGAGCCTGTTGGCGCTTGGCCTGGCTCAGAGGAGAGTGGTTCTGTTGCAAAATGGATCTCGAGCCCCAGGCGGCAGCGCCCCCCCCCCCCCCCCCCATCACCTTCAGAAACACAGCTTGGAGCAGCCTTCAGGCTCACGTGGGATCGTGGCAGCTGTCAAAGGGAAGTGTCTGCGCCTTGGAGCAGTGCTATAGGAACAGCTGCCACCAGAGCCTGGCATTCACCAGCGCCCCTCTGTATATGTCCCAGTTATCTCTCACGTGCCCTGCATGCTGCTCCCCTGCAGGCTGCCCTGCCCTTTGAGCCCAGCCGCTACCAGAGCCGGTCCAGCGAGCCCCTTCTAGGCCAGGGAGCAAGGCAGAGGGAGGGGGCGACACTGCCATCTGATCGTTGCATCGTCTTGCCCTTCCTGGGGGGCTCCTGTCCTGCCAACTCCACTCCCTTGGTGCCTGCAGAAGCCTCAGTC